ATCTGGATACTTAACCTAGTCATATTGCCATCTCGATGTGGGATGCGCGCCAGCACAGATGACGTTTCATGGACAATATCGATCTTCTGCAGCTGCATCTCCGGCTCGGCTCTTGTGTTATTGGAGTGTTGGCACCATCTCCCGGTCTCTTCCTTGTCCTGTTGGCGAAGGCGCAGGTTTTCAAGGCGGCGTATGTCCCTGATGTCGTGCTCACAGGCAAGTCTCACTCGCGATCACCTGCATCTCTGAGTGCATGTCGTGCGCAGTTCAGACGACTCGGGTTTCTCTGTATCTACGCCCTGCGTGCCTTGCCGTTCTCGCTTTCTTTCCTCTTCTACCCTTTCCGTGGCGCGCGCGCTCCTCATCATGCCCTGCATCTCCACATGCGGCACGTGGATACTACTTCCATGTCTTTCTCCTTCTTGTCGAGCAAACCCGTCCGCGTCACACGCCTTCCGCGTGGCGTCACGCTGCTTGTTGTTTTGAATATAGGATACCACGAAATCACGCCGGACTCGACGAAGACCATGACAAGGACTCTCCGCTTCAGCCTCACCATCGGCCCCCCTCTGGCTCCACCACTGGCCGTGCGCGTCCTTCCGCCTATCGTATCCGATGTACGCCCCTTCCCTCCCTGCATTTCCGCCAAGCCTTTCTGGCCCTAACGGCACCAGCAGCAGGTACAGCATATTGCTCTGCCCAGCAAGACATCCACACCAGCCGCGCCGCAAAATGCCTATGTACTGCAGCCCCCGAGCATATGCATATCAAGAGACCGAGATGTAGGTGTTATTAAGGGCGCGGAGGCACTTTGCGTACTGACAGGTCTGATAGCTCCCTCTAGCGCTACTACTTGTGCTGCGGTATCGTGCCTGATACCTTGACGCCAACCCCAACTCAATCCGCCTTTGCCAGTCCCACTGAACAAAGTGCGAGGATTCCGCCCAATCCACAACGCGTGTGGGATGCTGAAACCTTAACCATGCTTCCGGAGGCCTTTTCCCTTCGGAACCCGGGAGACGTGCGGGGAAGGGGAGTCGGGCGTGCGCGTGTGGTGTGAGGCGGAGGGGGCGTGCGGGGAGTGGGGTTGGACAGGCAGGGGTGTGGGTGTGCGGTGCGCGCGGTGGATATGCACGGGTATGGTGCATGGATGGGATGAGGCCGTGAATCTCGACACGGGCGTCGACCGCGGACGTCAAAGTGAGTGGGTATAAATGGACAGTGGCGCCGATGCTGATATGGCGATCCAGAGGACGTAGCACGCTCTTTTCGTTGTCACTAGCGCCTGGGCTTTCGTTATCCCCACATGCGGGGCTGTCGATACGAGACTCGTCGACAAGGGCTCGGCCGCCATTCACCTCGTCTCCGTAGTCGCATATTCGATTCTAGCGCGTGCACGTCATCTTCTATGACGCGCCACTGGATGGTGCAGAGAGGGCGGAGGGCGGAGCGAAGGACGTGCGAGGAGGACGTCGTGGTGTGGATACATGCAGCGGGTACCGTTCTTTTATTCAATCAAAGTATGCCTTGAGCTCGTCGTACTCTACCTTTATCAATTGAGCCACATTCGATTCGAGCCCGGGTGCGTTTCGTCCTCACTAAGGAGAATTTTACAGAGAATCTTGGAATAGATTTATTCACGGAATACGTACGTACGCACGTACGTAGGGACACAGTACCTACGTTTCGTATGTGGAGGCGGGACTCGAGATGGCACGGGTACAGCGCGGGTGGCATGGGATGGGGTGGGACGGGACTCGAGAGATGGGATGGACTCGATTCGACTCGAGATCGGTGCGGCCCGGATGCAGCACGGCAACGCAGCCGTGCCCGCGCAGCACCGAGCGCGCGCAAGTAAACTCGGCCGGGGCCCACGCACAACACCTCGCCGTTGCCCCCGCACATTCGTCCGGCACCGTCGACGCGTGCAGGGAGCGCGCACACACGGCCGCGGAATCCGCGCCGAGTCCGAGGCCGCACTTGATTCGGGTGGGGCGGGATATACAGGGCGGCGGGGGTGGGATGACGAGCGGGGGCGACGGTGGATGAGGAGGACGAAACGCGGGGGCGCAGGTGGACGAGGATGAAGGGGACGAGAGGGAGGGCGCGCGTCCGAGACCCATTTACCCCGCGCACGCAGGACCGTCCCGCGTGCCCTTCACCACTCGATGGAGAGGCCGCGCACCGCATGCGGTGGTGCACGCGAGGGGCGAACGCGAGGAAGACGCGGCGCTGCCAAATGGCCGAAACTGCGCGGGCGCATCGAGGAGGAGCAGGGGGACGCGCGCTGAGAACGCCATTCCATCCCCATCCCCATTCTCCTCCCTCCTCTTTCTCCGCCGCGATCACCCCCACCTTCCGCGTCCGCATCCCCGCCTTCGCCTTCACACCCCCGCGCGCGTACCTGCGGACCGTCTCCAGTCGTCCTTCCACAGGTACAGGTTCCCTTCCCTTGCCTTCGTCCGCGCAGCTCCATTCCCACCCACCCGTTCGTCACCCGCGCGCGCGTACCTGCGGACCGTCCCTCTCCGTCCTTCGGCCTCCCTTCTCTTCCCTTCGTCCGCGCACCTCCATTCCCACCCACCCGCTCGTCTCCCTCCCTCTCCCTCTCCGCCCCCATCCCCATCCCCGCCTTCCCATTCACACCCGCGCCCCTTCGAGCCTCGGAAACGAAGAGATCGCGGGCTCGGGAAGCCGGGGTAAACGAGGCTCGCGCGCGCGTGGGAGGGGGGGAGGTAGGCGCGAGTACCTTGAGTACCGGTGCGTGTCCCGGAGGGGGAGAAGTGCAAGCACGCGAGCACGACGTGCGAGGGCGCACGCGCGAGAAGGTACGCCCGAGGGAGCGCGCGCCCGTACGGTACGGGTGGGAGAGCCTCCTGGCTCCCCGGGCTCCCTCCACATAATCCATCCCTATTCCACCTAGAGCGCGGAAGTAGTCTCGCCGTCTTCGAAGCGGGCTGCACGCAGGTCGCCCGGAGCAGCATGTGAGTCGAGATGTCGTGGATATGCGGCCGGGGGTGGGTTGGTGGGTGAGGAATAAGCAAGTACCCGCGAGCGCGCGAGGTAAAGAGAGGATGAGGGCAGGGAGGTGACGCGAGGAAAGAAGGGACGTGTTCCGTCGGCGCGCAAGTCGACATCCCATCTCGACGGAACAGCTTAAACGACGAGAATGAGAGATCGCAGGGTCGTGCACGGATGGATTGAGATCGGTGTAACGCCGCGCACCCACCGTCCGGCGGCGACATGCGAGGGTGGGCTCGAGGGATCCCAGCGAGCTCAGGCTGCTGCTCCGCAAGCGACTGGACATGTATGAGCACACCAAGCCACCATCGACCCTGTTAAGAGATACGTACCGCAAGCGCAAGTCTAGACTGGCCGGCAGCTGCGCACCGACCCACTGGTCCCAAGGCTTCCAATCAAGGGCAGAAATGATACTGGCTCAGAAAAGTGGGTGGAATGCACCGCAGGGAGCGCGGCGGGCGGACGAAGTGCTGTTAGCACGGGTATGGAGACGGGGATGTGGCGCTCCTCGGGAGCGTGCGCTAGTGCTGGTGGGCGCGAGCAGAGACGAAGGATGGCGTCCCGGCGGCAGCGCGGACACGTAGAGTTTTCGCGGCGTCAAACGAAGCTGCGCATTGGCGCACGAGAGCTTCGAAGTAGACTCGAAGCAGTCGCTTTTCGGGACGGCGGGAATTGATGACAGTCGATCAATAGGCCGGCGGAAAAGCTTCGCTATCGGCTTTGATCGACTGTCATCAAAAGTCGTAGAGCGAGCTGCTGGTTCGAGCCTAGCTTCGAAGGCGTCCTGACAACAATGTTTGGGCTCACTCTACGAGCAATGGATTATGAGCAAGTCACCAAGAACGGCAGAAGCAATACACACACCTTAGCGGGTTAGGAATTGCGAGGCCTCCAGTCGTTCCACGTCAAAATAATTCCAATGAAGCCTCCGTGCTCAGCGTGCGGGGTCCAGCCGATTTGGGGTAGCCCACCTCCATCGTGCCATTCAGAAGACACCGCGTAAACTGCAACTCGTGGACATTCGGTCGAGGACGATGTTGGTGTGCTGCCGTGGAAATGTGCCATGGCCAGAGGTAAGAGGGACTAGTCACAGGCGCCGGGCAACATTGGGCTGCTACTACGGCAAAGTCGTATGAAGCCTCTGTGCTATAGCTAACAACGCGTCAGAATATACCTGGAATATGCGACAAAAAAAACTGCTGACCTTTTCCCTCACTGAGTCTCAGCTAGCGCTGGCGAAGCAGTCGAGCTTCGGAATTATAATTATCGCCTCGCAAATGTCCAGTCAAGCCTTGTTCGGGGGCGAATTTGAACGCGCATGGAATTCCAAGGCAAATTGGAGTGGCGGTTCGGGACGAAAGTGCCCGGGCCGAAACTTGAAGCGCCCGACAAACAGGTCGACACACGAGCGGGCCGGACAGCCGCCTTCCGGACCCGAACCACAACGTCTCGAATCCATTTTGCATCACCCAGCTCTAGCCTTGACTAGTGTATGAAACCGAACCCAACCGAAATATGCCAGCCGCTAGGAAATAGAATAAGTACTCAAGCTGCACTGCAACGCAGCATCCGAGTCTGTGACTCTTTGCTACTTTACTTTCTGCCCTTTCCAGCAGTTTCAGAACGGACGTGGTGCACGGTGCACAGCGAAACATCATACAATTCGAGCCTTACCATTAATTCGCAGGACGGGGTTCGACTCCCCGCGTCCGAATCGCTGCCGGCGCTCGGACCCGGAAGTCGTATCCATTTTTCTTTCCCTCAAAATTTTAATTGTGTCTGGCTTACCATACTGTATCCCTTCCCAGACCACTTGCTGATGGTATAGATTTTAGTGCAACGCACACTTTCGGGTACCTACCGTGGGGATCAGGCAAACGCAAGATTTAAAATGGTGTACCGTGTCCAGTCACTGCACAGGTCGTTCATCTAGTGAATATACGAGAGCAATTTATTCAGCGCTGAAGGAGAGGCGTACATCGGACGTGGTGTATGGTACGCGGCGAGGCTCTCTGAGCAGCCTCGGTTATAATCTACACCTCGCAGAACGGGGTTCGACTCCCCGCGTCCGAATTGGGCTGATAGATCGCCAATACTTTTTGAACTTTACATACTTACCTCATCTACTCCAAGGCTATTGCACATTCAAATATTAGGTTACGAAGCGCACAAGCCTTGAAGCCAGGTTTTTTCCAGGAGTGTGAAAATCATCAAACCTATTACAGGAACTCGGTTCGAAATCAACCATGAATCAACCTACTAATTTACCAGCCTTGAAGCTTGAAGCAGGACAAATCCATCGGACGTCGTGTACGGAACACCGCGGGCTCTTGTACGGTGTACTCCACAGCTCGCAGCATGGGGCTCGATTCCCCGCGTCTGAGTCGGTATTCAACAGGGATTTTTGCTCAGTTTTCGCTCCATCTAATATTGATCTGTCTATAGTTCCGCTGCAATGGAAACGCAAAGAAAAATTGATAGCACTCGACAAATCGATATTTCAAGCCCGACGAGCTTGAAGGTGTGTTCAATTTAATTTCTGGCCTTCAAGTTTTGTTTTTGACCTCTAAACCGCGGTTTCCAGTGGTTCGACTTCGGACTCCCCGTGTTCGAATGATTATGGTACACCGCAGATTTTTTGTCTTTGTGTTCTTTCCTTTTGCCCACCCCAACTCAATCGACTCGGGCAATAAGAATAACTGCCACTGGACCTCCCACAGAACTTCTCTCCACTTCAGCTGTTGATCTGAACAAGATGCTCGTAATCTCGTTCTTCCCCACCTAAAATCAACCTCACTCACCAGGTGTACGAATACTGGAAGAAATCGGGTGTGGTGTACGGCACAACGCGAGTCTCCCTATGTAGGAAGCTCTGGAATACTCATCTACAGCTTGCAGCACGGGGTTAGACTCCCCGCATCTGAATTGGTCTTGGGATTTTTTGCTCAGTTTCCTTCCATCTAATATCAATCTGTCTATAGTTCCGCCCCAATGCAGATATGAAGAAAAATTGTTAGCACTCGAGAAATCAATATCTCAAGCCCGCCGAGTTTTAAGCTTTAAGGTGTGTTCGGTTCAATTTCTGGCCTTCAAGTTCTATTATTATTTACCTTTCAACCACAGTTTTCTCCTGGGTAGAATAACTTGGACGTGGTGTACGGAACGTCTCTTCAATTGCAATCAAAGCGCGCTGAACGGGGTTCGACTCCCCGCGTCTGAATAGGCGATTCAGATTACTATTGTGTCATAACTCTTTTTCCCCATCTAGCCCTAGGAATTCAGTCCGAACCAAGTCCGAACTCCGAGTCGCAAAGAGTTTTAAGAAGGCTGCAAATAAGTCATAGGACCCCCGCCCAATCTGCATCCATGCCATCGGCGTGTTCTAGCCGTTAATATCCGCCAATGAAAGAATTGAGCCAAAGTTTGGGGTCATATAATTAGAAAATGACACATGTTGGCCGCGTGCTGTCGTCTGTCAGTGAGCGGTGAGCTGTCAGTCATCCCCAGTGAGAAACCCGTATTGGGAGATCTGTTCAGAACGAGAGATATAATTGTAATCTGTATATATCGTTTCAAATCTGTTCAGAAATAATCCCAATCAAGAAGTCACAACTCATGCTTTCTACATCGAGGGTGGTCTGTTCAAATCTGTATCGCAGTGTGCTGTCAATCAAGAGGTCTGTGCGCATTATATCTATGATCACAGAATGATTCGGGTCGTCGCTTCCCTTATTAGATCTTTCTTCCCCCATCTTTCCTCCCGCTTCGAAGTCCGCTGGCCTCTTCCTCTCTCTACTAAACTGCCTCAAGTTCCAAGATCTAATTGAAGCTCTGACCCTCATGGCCTCAAAACTTACCAAGCTTCATAAATATTCAAACCTCCGCAAGTTGCTTCAAGCTTGCTGCGCCGACCAAGAGCAACGTCAAACACGCCAATCTAGCCCACGCATTTCAAGCTCCTGGTTGTCCTACTTGCCGCAAGACTCTCAAGTCACTTTCAACTTCAAATGATTATGCCGTTTAGTAGGAGGTTTCCTGTAGTACTTAGTTTTGTAACACGATGTGCGTAGATACATATGTTATCAACCGATTGTTTCTGTCTGCTTGAAATTGCTTGAGATCCGATAGAAAGGAATCATTCTGGCCGAAACCGCCGCACTCAATTCGCGATCAGACGAAAATATGATACAAGATATTTCACGATATGAAAAGGTGCGAAAATATCTCGCTAGAAAAAAATCTAGCCATGCTCATTTTTTTTGCGGGGGATCTGTTCAATTGATTTATCACTCTTTGAACAGATCTCCCAATACGGGATTCTCACTGGGAGTCATCCCTTGTTCTTTCACCATTGCACTGCAGCCACAAGCTCCACACTCTACCTGGAATCGCTACCAGTCCTTGCTCACTAGCCCTACAATGTCTCAGGCTAGTGAATTCCACACAGTTAATCAGACCATCTATGGTGCGCAAAATTGGTCAAGTCAATGTTATTGCTTATCTTTCCCAGGGGGCGTAGGGGGCGCAGGCGGGGGAGGTGGCATCCAGGGTGGGGACGGGGGTCTTGGGGAGGGTCCCAGGATGTCTTATGCTGTCGAGACTGACCACTTCACCGTGAATAATATGTATGTCAGTTGATCCTCTCCCAAATACCGTTTCTCAATAACAGTAGTGGCACACAAATGAATTGTAAGTATTGGACACCACAGTTATGGGGATTGACAAAAAACTGATAATATTGCCACCACAGTCCAAGGGAGAGGCAACACCAATGGCAGAGAGATTCTAGCAAAGCTCAAACCTGTGGCAGCCCATTATAATGCTGTCAACACACCCGAGAAATGCATGGGTGGTACACGAGTTGCCATACTCGAGGACCTTGTTACATCCTTGACCAGCACTTCTGATTCATTCCGCGTGGTCATGCTCAGCGGAGTTGCAGGATCAGGCAAATCCACGATTGCAAAAACAGTTGCAACTATCTTGGCTGAGAAGGAAAATATGCTTGCAGCATCTTTTTTCTTTTCCCGCGACCACACAGACCGCAGGGAGATAAATCACCTTGCTATGACACTTGCCATGCAGCTTGCAGATTATGATCCTGGCTTTTGTACTCATCTCATTGAGCTACTGGAGAACGATCGTACGGGTATTTGCAACACAGAACCACACCTGCAGTTCCAGAAACTGGTTGTAGAAATTCTTGGGAAGCTAGCTCCTTGTTCCAAGCCATGGGTCATCTGTCTTGATGCTCTGGATGAATGTGGGGAAGAGCGTGGGCAGAAGTTCTTGCGGTGGCTATCCGATAGCATTGCTAACATCCCGGCCCATATCCGATTCTTTCTGACTGGACGCCCTGATGTCCCTTCCTATCTGGAATTTGACAAACTTCTATCTCTGACGCATGGGGTTGTCCTCGACAAAATTGAACACAGTATAGTTCAGCATGACATACACCTCTATGTTGAGCAATCACTTGATGGGGCCAACTGGATTACACGTAATCCTTGGAAAATCCAGAAAAAGCAGGCAGAAGAATTAACAATCCTTGCAAATGGTCTCTTTGTCTTTGCAGCTACAGCTGTTCGTTATGTTCTTGCAGGACTGCCACAGACACCCCCACAAGAATCTGTTGATTACCTCCTGGATGGTGAAGTTCTCGCTGACCTGCATGATCTATACCTCCGAATTATGAATTACGCCATCCCATCAGTGACCCGCAAAGACCGGCGTGCTCAGCACTCACATGACCGAACCATGAGAGTTCTGAGTACAATTTTACATCTCCTGGAACCTTTGGATTGCCAGAGTTTGGCAGACTTGCTTGAACTGGACAAAACAGTCGTTCTGGGGATACTACTCCCTCTGAGTTCTGTAATCCATGTTTCTGATACTCCAGGGGCAGCCATTAGAATCATACATCTCTCGTTCAGGGAGTTTATGACATCTTATGTTGAAGTGGACCGGCCGGACATCCTCTGTGGAACGGACAATCAGCAGCAAGCCCTGGTGTCTGCTCTTATGAAGGTATTGGACAGACACCTAAAATTCAATATCTGTGAACTACCAACCTCATACCTACGAAACATGGACATGCCAGATTTGCAGTGGCGACTTGACAACTACATTCCTCTGCATCTCCGATATGCTGCTCAATTTTGGGTGGATCATCTAGTGGAAACAGTCTATGATTTATGCAGTGGCCAAGGAGTGCAGAAGTTGTTGTTCAAAAACTTTCTGTTTTGGCTAGAGGTGTTGAGTTTACTTGGGATGGTGGGACGTGGACAGGAGGCCCTGTCTCAATTGATAGCTTGGGGAAATGAGGTATGTTTGAGAATGCTCTTATGGGGTGTTATGAGGACTCAAGATCATTAGAGCACGCCCCTTCTCCAATTTTTGATCGATGCCAAAAGATTTGTTTACTTTTTTTTGGAAGCAATCAGTCAAAGTGCTCCCCACATTTATCTATCAGCACTGGCCTTGGCACCAGAGGAGTCTAAAATCATAGAAATATTCTCACACAAATTCCCACAACTACTAACAATAACAAGAGGGAGGATGAAAATGTGGCCAAATACAATTGCTGTACTGGAGGGGCACACAGGTGGGGTCACCTCAGTTGCCTTCTCACATGATGGCAAGAAAATTGTGTCTGGCTCTGAAGACAAAACTGTGTGCATTTGGGATGCAGAGACTGGAGCTGCACTCAGGGAACCGCTGGAGGGGCACACCAGCTCAGTCACCTCAGCTGCTTTCTCACCCAATGGCAAGAGAATTGTCTCTGGCTCTCATGACCAGACTGTATGCATTTGGGATGCAGAGACTGGAGCTGCACTCAGGGAACCGCTGGAAGGGCACACCAATTGGGTCAAGTCAGTTGCATTCTCACCCAATGGCAAGAGAATTGTGTCTGGCTCCTGGGACGAGACTGTGCGTATTTGGGATGCAGAGACTGGAGCTGCATTCAAGGAACCACTGGAGGGACACACTGATTCGGTCACTTCAGTTGCTTTCTCACCCGATGGCAAGAGAATTGTGTCTGGCTCTGATGACAAGACTGTGCGCATTTGGGA